AGCTTTGGTTCTCTTGAAGAAATCGTCCGAGAGGACCATTCTACTCTTTCTGTTGAGTATACAGAACCTTATCAAGGCCTTCTAATCTGTTTGCGCGCCCTCCATGGCTTATCCAGCTACGTCTTCTATGCACAGCCGCTCTTCCGGCTCCTCACTCAAACCTGTCAGACACTAGACATCAAGTTGCCCGTCGAGGCGATGGATACGCTAGATTATTATCAGGGCGATGAGTGGACCAACAGCGCGGCTAGTCTAGTAAGTAGTCGATACATTGCAGACAGACGGCAGATGCCGCCACATCCCCCGAATCTAAGAATGGATGATGTTATTTCACTGTGGAGTCTTTTGACTCTTGATGGGAGTGGTATCAGTAGCAGAGTCATAGCGAGGAGGCTGGGTCAATCTACGTATGATCAGGGCTGATCGAGGGTTAGGAAACGACGCAGTTTCGCTTGACGCTTCTGCCGCGCATTCCCTCCGCTCCCGCATCTGCATCCGCCTCGCCACGTTCAAACTAAAGATATTATCTAAGCCGGTCAATAATCCGGGCCGTTCTCAGCTCCACACCATGAATTACCGATGGATTATCAACGATCGCCATGATTGGAGTCTTATCAGACCCTTCCCCACGGTGGAGCCTCTTCGGTGTGGAATCTGATTAGACGCCTATAGCAATTCCGTCCCAGTACTAGCGATATGGTACCGTCCGCTAGGTTCGGTAGGACGAGTGGGGTGGACATCACGACTGTACCTGCTATATATGGAATGCATACCATAGTCCCGCGTGGGGCACAAGCAAAAACAGGAAACCGTAGCTCGGAGAGCAGTCTCGGATCTGAGTGGTTTTATGGACCCAAAATTTCCCTGTTGACAATCTACGATCAAATGAAAAACTTTTACAAGACAGCGGATCTTCCAGAAAAGATAACTTTATTGTGGACTGACCTCCACGTGCGCAGATCCGACCCGTGGACCCGCTTTCATCGGCACGCCTTTGCGGCACGTCATTCTATCTCAATTATAATCCCCAACACGAGTCCTCGTTTCAATAACCCTACCTCTGGATCCAAACGTAGATTCGAATGCTCACGATGACGACTTGTTGGCGGATGTTCTACTCCGTCACTGAAGTACAACCATAGCACTGCCAGCTCGGTGTACCGCTCACAGCCCGCTCTCTTCCGCGTTCTTCCGTACTTGCGTGGCTCTCATTGGAAACATATATTGCCATCCACTTCTAACCTATAGATTGGTTCGCCACGCCACACCATTACATTACGATGCTGCTGGCCGGGCCATTACCTCTCCGGCTTCCTAGTTACGCATCATCATTCTTTTCCGCGAACCAGCGAATACATCTCCGCGTGTACACACGGTAGATCATCACGATCTTGGGCAACTGGCTCGACGTTGCTCCATCAAATGTCTTGGTTTCTTTTTTGATTTCCTGCTACCCGGGTTGTTTTGTCGTGCTATGCCGGCTTTACCTCCATGTCTTTATGAAGTTCGGTACAACTTGATTTAATCGGACATTATGTTTGTTGAGGGTTTTTGTTATGGCCCTCTGCAGGCGGCCCGAGCTCCTAAGATGAGAAAGTGTGATTTCTTATTTCTGTCCTTCGTCCACGCACACATACCCGGTATTCCTAGATAGTTATATCCCTTTCTCCAACACACACCATAAGCCCTATCTTGAGTTCATTTCTGTGGACCCCCACCCCTCTCACTCACATCCACAGCTATTCTAAACTATTTCAACGTCTTCTCGCAAAGTCTCGCTTTTTCCCATATGCTCATAGCCCCTGCCGTTTCTTCGAATATCTCGAGAAGCAGACGAAGTCCTCACATGTATCTTTGATCGATCTAATTTATTCCTTCATGTACGTGTCTAGAACAAGGACTAGCAGAAAGACATAGAGCATTGCCGTGGCCGATTTCGAAAAGGTACTTTGGTTGATATAAGAGTTTTTGACACACTGGCAAAAAGCGAGCGATTGTGGTTGACTTTTGGAAGAACGGTGGCGCAGGCGAGCGACATATCTATTACGGGCGATGGTTTCTCCCGCTTTGTGGATTCTTATGTATGCGGGTTGGGTTCGCGGGGTGGAAAGTAAGATCGCTAACTGGGAGAAGCCCGCAACCCATTTCGCGGAACTCTTGGATATTTTGTAGGTGAGCAGCGCCGCACTGGGACGCCATGGCAGCTCCGTCATTGATATTTCCTTCCATGAGCACCAAGTAATGTGGTTTTGGTCGATATCAGGGGTTGTGGACTTTATCAAGAAAGAGTGATCGCCATGTTTGCATAGCCATAACACTTGTGGCGCCAGAACCGCCGCGCGGCGGAACGACATGACAAGCGTTGGCTTATAGTTCTGGACTTCTTCATGGATAGGTTGCTGGGGAAGAAGGGCTTGGAAGAACGAGTAGTCTCCATGGGTGGAGAACGATAACATTTATACACGAGAAGCAACGCGGCGGAACAACATATCTCTTGATTATATCCTTTTTGGACCTCGTTATCGCCATGGCACTTTTCTCTATTCGATACGAGCGTTTTGAAATTGTTGCGAGAAGCGAACGGTCTCTCGACATCCACTGTTCATCTAGCTGTTTTGGACCTCCTCCAGGTTGCTCGCACTTTCTTTCGACATGTTAACACGACGTAGGCGTTTGTCGAGGTTCTAGCACGCGGGCTACATAAGAAACCACAACCATCATTGAGAGACGAGAACGAGGAGGAACGTGCCAAAAACGGCATTGTCTCTCTCTTCTTTCGGTTTTGGACCTTTTCCTTATCGCTCGGACTTTCTCGTCGACATACCAGCTCGATATAAGCGATTTCCCGGGAAGGCGAACGGCCTCCATACCCCTTCCGGAGCAAATTTTTATACACGGAAAAGTTCTAATTTGATGTAAGCATCTTTTAGTTGAAGCACGAAGCACGCGGACTCCATTGGCTTGCCGACATGAGACTTTCTACGACAAGCGCGCGGTTTCCATGTGCATGTTGTTGGCTAATTTTTAGATATTAGACCGAGGGTCGCGCCGGAACGACACGTAAAGCACTATGCACTTTATGCGACAAGCTCAGTCTCCATATGGATTTCGTTGATCGTATTTTATTTGTCAATTGGGGGACGCGCCGGAACGACATCAAGAAGATTAATAAATTGTTCTGGACTGTATCGTTGATAGGAGCGGGAGTTGTAGATTAAAAAAATGCGGAGGTCAGTAGCTACTTTTCACCTCGTCATATGACGATATGCGGCGGTTTTGGATGAATACAGTTCTTTGGAATTGGGTTGTTGGTATTTGGAGGAAGAGCGCGGGTTCCATCAAAGTAACTTGTTGCTTATAAACGGGAATAAGGACAACACAGAACAGAATAGTATGATCGTCTTTTCCTCGCGTTTCATTTTTTCCATTCCAGCCTGGTTCTGCGTATTTCAGGCTTTAGTTATGTTCTTTGTTCGTGTCCAGCAAGCGCGCGAGTCCATGCGATTGTCTTCTCACGTCTTTAAAAAACGAATCAACACGCATGCTAGGTTTGTTTTCCAAGCCCTTTTCAGACGTTATGGAAGTCCAAATCTTTTTGTTTTAAAGAAAAACTTTGGCACAAGCGAGTGCGTCCCATGAAAGTCTTGTGTGGAGGATTTGGGGCGAGGACGTTTACATCAGAATAGTATAACTGTAATTCTCTCGCGTTCCGTCTCTCTATGGTGTTTCTTCATTTATAGTTTGTGTATTTCAGATTCACTCTTTACTTGAGTTCTTTTTTTGTACAGTGAAAGCGCTCGAGTCTATAAGACGGCCTTTATATGACTTTGATAGACGAACAAACACGCTGGAACACCATGCTGCTTCTTCCGGATCCTTTTTAGACATCATGAATTTTCGAACTTCGTTTGGGGGAGTCGAGTCCATAGAAGAGTGGTACAGTTGCTCTTTGGAAGAATCGCGCGGGTCCCATGGCTGCCCCACGACAATGGTTTAGAGAAAAGGATGGAATACGCCAGAACAACATCATGTTTTCTGTCGTTTTTCTTGTTGTTTAAGAGTGTTCCAGGCCATGGAGCAGAAAGCGTTTGTATTTAGAGCAAGCGCACAAGATCCATGAAGGCATTTCGGTTGCGTTTACAGACGAGGTCAAGACACACTGGGACAGCATAGACTGTACGTGCTCTGAATTTTCGTGTTTTCCCGATAGGTTCAATCATTGCAAATTTGGGTATTTGTTTGATACTTGGAGGAAGCGCACGGGTTCCATGGGCATTTTGTTGGCGTGGTTATAGATAGATATGGAGACGAGACACGCCGGCCGGACATCTTGTGCTACCTCTGCTTTTTGATTTCTTTCCTTTGGACGTTTCAGTTGACAGTCATGATGGATTCTTGTAGTAGTTGTTCGGAGCGAGCGAGCGAGCGAGCGAGTTCCATAAATATCTTGTGTGATGTGTTATGGACGAACGACACACGGCGGAACAACATACTAATCTAGGTGTAGTATTCTTCCTATAAGCTCAATCTTGCGAATTTTCAGCATACTAGTCTATGAACGTATTCATTTGACACTCGGAAAAGCCAGAAAGGTCCAGAAGCATCGCCATCTCGACCAGTGTTTCAACATGGCGAAAACGGAACACGCCCAAGCTCCATGCATTTGTCTTGTCAGGATTTTGGACTCGATGTGTTTGATACTCTAGAGCAAGACTTAGAGGAAGTGCGCAAGTCTTAGCATCGCTGTCTAGAAGTCGTCTTAGAGTATTGCTTTGGTACAATAGTGAATAGGGTCCCATTTAAGGTTATTATAAAGATCGTAAATAAATACTGCGCGTTAAAGTTCATTGCTGGTAAGAGCTCTTGAACTTTTCACATAGTAGTAATAAAGCACAAAAAAGATACTATAGAGCACGTGCTCTACAAAATACTACCTACGGAAGGAAAAAAGAATTGTAGGATGGTTATCACTATGCCCTACGAAAAACCAAAAAAATGTATGGTCAATGAGGGGGTCGAACCCTCGGCCTTGGCGTGACATGATAAAGATCTATTAGCACCACGCTCTAACCAACTGAGCTAATCGACCTGGTTTCAATTTATGCAAAATTTGGGCGTCGAATAATATATATCTCACAAACAAAAAGGCCAGCTGGTAAGACGGGTCGTGCCCCACTACGGAAAAGTCTTCAGCTTATACCTAAAGAGGTATAGAGCCCACTTAGACGACCGAGTTTGCCGGCCTGCCTTGGCACGCACAAATAACTCATAAGACAGACTTACTCTATTTCTCTTACATAACACGAACACACGTGCGCATACACAGAGAAGTTTTCGCAAAGCTTAGATTTTCGGCGATGGAGCCTTATTTAGCACAGGCAACTACAAAAACCTCGATGCAGACAACTTTACGCGGGGAACCTAGTAATACTCTTTTATGCCCCGGACGAGAGTTCCTTAATGAGGGAGGGTTAGGGGGGAGAAACACTTAACATTGCACTCCTACTTGACCAAAGCATTCATGGCCAGATCGTTCAGGATAAGTCGTCTCGCGATATTTACCACTCCCACGATCCTTCGATACGAGCGTACTACGGAAGCCTCCGATAGAATTTTTACAACATGAAGCTTTCACCAAATCCTTTCTCAAGGGAGGAGCTATACAAATTAAAAATACATACTACCCAATTCACTATTTCTCCTACCTCACCTCACAACATATTTGAGGTTGAAAGCGAGACACTCCGGATCTTCATGGCAGTTTTACCATTCCGGTTTGTACACCTCTTTTTCTTACATGTGATCCATCCATATATTGTTTCTTTGATACTTGGAGAAAGCGAGCGATTTCCATATAAGAGCTGAGTGTCTAGTTGTAGACGGAAACTAAACACGCTATTGATTTCTGATTTCTCCAGTTGAACATTCCCCGTAGCTTTTTTGAGGTGAGCCTTAGAGGACACGAGCCAGTACCATAACCTCATCTTTGTTTAGTTTATAGACGAAAAGAGCTACTCCAGCAACGACATGAGATAGATTCCTGCAAGACTTTATGCGACACTTGCCAGCCCTGCATTTCCGCTACATAGGCCAAACAAGCTTCTAGAAATGACTAGGGAGACAAGCAGTCTCTATAATAAGTAGTTCTCTCACATTGTAGACGAACAGAGGCACGCCACGTCCCCATGCTTGAACCGGGAGAAAATTTTCGATTTCTTTTGTTCCGACTGTCCTGCTGACTCCATTCAGCGACTCATGTATCTTTGTTAGTACTCAATGTACTATCTCACACGGGACATGTATTGAAAGCACTCGGTTTTTATGTTTAACCCTCGACATCAGAGAACTGTAATACCTGTTTATTCTTTTGTCTCTGAAATCTAGAGGCTCGGAGCAGGCGCAGGAAGTTTCATCACAATCGTTGACTTGGTGTTTGTTTTATGTGTCAAGCAAGGGAGAGGGTTCTGTCCCGGGCACTCATGCGGAGGGAACGATTTGGTTTATTGTTGTAGTAACTTGTTTGCCGCAGAGGTGTTTTCCCCAACAGTAGTTTAAGCCTTCTCCTTTTTAGAAACAATTCGTTGTGCGGGGACCAGACGCAGCAAGGGCCATTTATTCTTGCTGTGCTCTTTTTATTGTAGACAACGCTTACGTGCGAAAGCTCCCTTCCAAACGCACATTCGCCCAGTCTTGTATCGATTTATTCACTGTGGACTCCCGCCCGCGAGGAATGCTTTCTTCAACATGTCACTCAAGATGTAATCTTGTCGGAGATATTAGTTGTGTTGGTTTCGGTTCAGAGCTGGTTCTCAGCACATCGTCCATACGTGGTTCAGTTTTGCGGACTCCGGAGGCCTTCATGAAAGGGTTTCGGGCCAAATTTATGATTCCCAGATATTGTGAGATATAGAGCGGCGCAGCTTTTCTTTCCCAGATGTATAATTGGAGTCCAGGTTTCTAAGACTGATGTTGTAGGCCTAGACTTGTCTTCCGCACATCGGGTCTTGTAGAGGATCTTTTCACGTACTCGAAGCTCTTCATGCGTTGTGTATTCCAGACATGAGAGTAGTGATCACATCCTTGTGGGATTCTTCTTCTTATAGTAGACGGAGAGACACGATCCAGAAACATAAAGATAGTTTGACGAAGGTTTTGTTCTGCGTAGGCATGCCTGCGACATTGCCGGTTCTCCAACCCGCTCCACACCATAATAGAATCGGAAATGTTTCTACCAGCACTACACATGGTCTGGATTCTTCGTAATTTTCCCAAGTTTCAAACTTGCATAATACAGACGAACATGTTATTGTCGGACATAGTTTTGTTCTAAAATTATCCCGTTTACTGGCAATTGATGTAGAATACACGGCCCAACAGCACTTTTTCGTTACGGATCAGTCGTAGAGCGATTGAGTCGGTTTTCGGGGTTCCATAAGTAGGACGCGAATAACTTTTGTTACTGATAGTCTGATACGGTCGTACGCGCACTCATCTTTACCAAATTCTAGACTCGGTACCGCGCAGTCTTCCATGCAACGGTTTAGAAAAGGTTTTGTTCAACATAAACGCGCTTTCCTGCCTGTTTGAATATTTGAAATCGTAGTTCGCGGAGACGGCTTGAAAGCACATGTGTTTTAGTTCTGCTCTTTTTATTCGCTTCGAACGTACCGCGAGAAGTCTTCATCGTACGGTACCTAGAGATTTCTAGACTTCTGAAACTGCATGAAACCAAGCGTATCGGGATTTCTTCTCTACCTTTGAGCAGCGCATGCGTATTTGCCATCTCAGTTTATAGTTTGTAGAAGCTCTCATATATAGTATTCGAGGTTCGGTGGTTGAACACGGTCGAACGGCAAATAAGTATTCCGTCTCGTGCTTTCTATTCGTGTAGGCCTTGTCACGAGGGGTCTAATCCATGCTACAATGGTCGTGGAAGGTTTGGTGCTGTGATCCACAAAACATGCAATGCATGTATACCTCTTTTTGGTAACTCGTACAGGTGCTGAGGCCGAAGGGTCCAGTGTTCTCCTTGGATTGGAAGATCCGATGGCCGCGATTGAGGGAAACACGGCCCCAAAGACACATGACGACCCTATTCACATGTTTGTACCAGGTACCGCATCAGAAAGTCAAGATGGCCCTTTTGGTGCCAGGAGCGGCGCAGGACATTCTTGGCCTGGAACAGCCATTTTCAAGTCGCTGATAAAGTAGTACCGCTTGTGTTTTGTGCTTGTAGTAGCAGGCGCGAATAGTATAATACGAGAACCGCGTCTGAGAGGCACATGCGTTGGTATGGGCAACCATTTCTTTATTCCGGGGCTGCTGCAGGGAGTTCTCATCGAATGCGTCCTGTAGCTGTTGGAGACCGCATGATCCTGAGCAATGAGTCTTTTGTTGGTTTCCTGCTCGAGACATTGACATACATCTACTCGGATGTTCTTTTAGTCCACCATGGACGTTCGGGAATAATCTTTTGCTCAAAGTGGCCGGCTCAAATATGGTGTACTTAGAAGCCCCGCGTCTCGAGAAGCATATATTCTGGTATGGTATCATTTTCATTATTTTCAGACTGGCTCCAAGTGTTCTCATGAGTACAGTTCAATGGTTTTTAGAGACCACGCGAGTAGGGATGCAGAAATGTTTCTTCTGCCCGGAACATCGATCTCTTGTATCGTCATTTTAGTCGTTCCATTAGTAATGTCCACAGAGATTTTATCGTCCGAGGACGTTTCGAGTCGAGTGAGAGCGCGGTCCGGAAAGCGGGGTATACATATGACATGCTACGAGGGACATGTGCTTTAAGCGGTTTTATTTTGCCCAGTCCTACCACAAGAAAGCTCCTGAGTAGACGAGAGTCCGTGGTTGTCGGGCACCATATGCTATCCCTCTATCCATTTATTAAAAGCCGAGCTGTTCGTAAAGACAGTGGCAAGTCTTTATTTCGCGGTCCATACAATAATGCGGCTTTTCAATCTTGGAAACATAGCAACCTTTTGCCTGGAAGTCGACATTCGGTTGCGCAATAGCAGAAGACAAGCTCGAAGTCCATGGAAGTCACGAACGGGTGTTTTTTTTGCTTCGATCTTTCCGCGGGACCGCTCATATATCTGAGGCTATCCGGACTTTTACAAACATTGCCGTAGTTGGTTATCACTCAGGAAATGGATTCGCGAGTGTAAGATTTCAAGGTATCTTCCAGCCAACCCATAGCCCTCCATTGACCAGATTTCAGAAACGCCACATACCAGGTTGTATTGTAAATCGCTCGGGCAGAGGCGTCCGGCACATGGTGTACAGATAATCCATTTTCAGTCCATCCCAGAACTAGCTGCCAGGTTTGTTTCGAGGCCGACGTCAGGCATAGTATAATAGTTCGTAGAGTTCGGACAGTCGAAAGAGGCCGCGCAGCCCACCCCATCGACTTCCATTTGCTTGCATTCCAGCTCCTTTCCACCACGCAAGGCTTATTACATGCTGATATGGGCGTGGATATTCCAATATACCATGCACAGATCAGCCGTGGGGTTTTGTCCAGCGGCGTAGCGCAAACCAAACCATTCATTGATGACCGGCAAGTTTTAGTGCTCTATGAAATCCAGCATGTCGGTATTGTATTAAGAGAGAGACAGAGCGAAGAGACTCGTGTCCTGAAGAAGAAAGATCCAGCATGCGCATAGTAGAGCAAAGAAACAAGTTCCGATCCATCGGACTGTTGCAACGAAGTTTCTACAACTCCCGTGGCGCCGAGCGCTCTAGTTTTTAAATCCTCCAAGGAATTCTCAGACAAGAATCCATGGCGTGATGGTAGGCCAAATTTTTGAGAAGCGGGCGCGTGCTCCATGTACAAGTTCGATCTAGTTTTTATTTCCTATGACCGGCATTGGTATGTGATGCAGCGTGTCTTCTTTCTTAATCTCGGATTAAACTCAAGCCTCGGTCGAGCAAACACATCGGCGAACGCTACGGCCTTCTTCAGAGCATCTTTCTAATGTCGATACTGAAATTTGACTAGTTCGTCGCCTTAGATTCAGGGGTATTAATCCGCAAGATTGATCACAGTTGTCGAACATTCCGGGAACTCCTTCATTT